CTCTGATAGTAATTGATCTATGCTAGTTTGCATATTTTCTCTAGTACCTTACTGCTTGTAGTCTCTTCTGCTTCCACGTAATAAATACACTAACCAACTCTGTAGCTGGTATCAGACTTTCTAAATCGCTGTACTTATCCTTATAGTATAATGAAAATGGGCTATTTATTTTCTTGATATTCCTTTTGTCATGGAACACATGACAACGAGCTGTCTCCCCGTGCTTTGATAGTCGCTTGTGAGACTTTAAATGGTATAAATAAACCGGTTCTTCATCTAGCACTTTGGCATACTGAAAGAATTTTAGATAGGAAGACCATTTTTCTCGTAATGGCCCTGCTGTTTACACTTAGTCATATGATTTGTTAGATATTTCGGACTGTAGATTTATGTGCTATCAAGTGAAAGAATTATTTGTCTAATCTCAGGAAGCTGAAGTCTACTTACATATAAATCTGACTTATTATTTTGCAGTCCTTTGGAATAAGACTCTTGCTTAATGAGTGTGCACGATTTTGTTAATAGTTCAGCTATTTCACTGCTAAATTCCTTCCATTAGCTCATGATGGATGTTCTGTTTTATTTAGAAGAACGAATATTGCATTCATTAGGCAAACTTCATTAAATTTGGAGCTCAATCAACTAGAACTATAATTATATGGAGAGGAAACTTCCTAATCTGACATTTGTAAAACTGAGCCCTTTTGGAATCCGTTATTATCTTACGCGACATGCCCAACCGAGCCTTTGTATTGAACAGAGACGGACCCTGGGAGGAGTGCCTTCAGCTAGGAGAATTGCTATTTTCTATTATAATTTAATTGTTTTATAGCTTTTTTCATCACAATGAGACATCTGCTCTCTCTGTATCCAGAGCAATAACGGACCAGACTGTTGAGGCGGTAGTAAGCAGAGTATGCTCCTCTAAACTATTCTCTCATTGTATAGACATACTTTATTACTTCTCAAATTACACCTTCTGCAGTTTAAGTCCACGAAGACTATCCTCTTATCCTTTAAGGCAAAATTTGTGGATCTTAGCATGGCTATGAAAGGAAAAAAAACTATGTTATGAATGGGAAATGATTTGTCTCTGTAACTTTAGACTGAGTGGTTGGTGTGGGCGTCAGGAGGGGGAAGTACAGCTGCCTGTCCATCGTGGTCTGTTTTCCCTCTAGCACCACATGTGACTCAAATGTGGGCCCGTGGTCTTTGAGCACTTGCCGTTTCTCCCCGCTTTAGATTTCAGCTGCTGCCTTGCTGGTGGTGCAGTGCATTTTAAGGCGGAGGAGGACAGCTATGAGAACATCATTGCCGGTTCTGGTTAGGTTGTGAACCTCGGCAGATACAGAAGAATTCAGCAGAAGTTGTTATTTCGGAAAAAATCAAGAATGACATCCTCTCCATGTAGTCCTCCAAGAAAGAAGCTGAGATCGATTAATTAATTTTACTCTCTAACCCAACCTAGTGTAGCCCACAAATGGTTTTAAGCTGTACTTCTCTTGCGGTGTGGGGCAGCCAAGGTGTTACGTTAAGTCTGTTGTCCTCTGCGTTGCCCTCTGTCCTGCTCTGTTCTTGTAGGCACAAGACTCCTGGGTATGAACTCTGCGTTTTGGACTCTTCCCCCTTGGTGCCCAGGAGGAGGAATTAGCTTGCCTTGTGCTGCCTGATGAACGCTAAAGGAAGAAGACTGGGTAGACAATCTGTTGCAAAATATTGACTTGTCATCTCTTGACCTTTTGGAAACGTGTTCAGCCAGAAAGGTTTAAAAACCAAAGATTGTTGTTCTGAGTCTTCGTCAAGGAAGAAGTGCTGGTGTGCAGTTAGGATTAGTTACCATGTGTTTAAGAAAAAGGAGAAATAAATTTGGTTGAAATAGCCTATTTATGAATAAGAAACAAGAAAAATGAATAACTTATTATGGGTTGGGATATAAATGTTATCCTTAGGAGACCATGGTAAGAAGCAGTTGAGCTCTCACGTGGAGTCTAGAAGCTGTAACCAGAAACAGGCACCCGTCAGTGCTCGGGGAAGAGGCATGCGTGAGCAGGAGGGGCTTTGCTTGGTAATGGTTTGTTGGATGTTTGTGGGTCTAGGACAGACAGACACCAAAGATGAGAGAAAGGGGCAAAAAGGCAGCAGGAGGGAGAGCTTGAACAAACCGTTGGAGCGGGGCCCAGACAGAAGCTTGGAGTCTGCATCTATGCCTTTAATTGATTCTTAGGGGCAAAAAATGCTGAGCAAGGCTGTTTTGCTCTATCGGACCGCGTTTATTTCTGCGGCTGCAAACAACGCTGGGGGATCTTGTGTGAAACAGGTTTTCGATCAATCCCTGTTGGGGACGACTGGTTGAGGTGAGATTTCTGTACATGGGGCTGAGGGTGACTTTTAACATTGCGAGGATAAAAGCAAATTTCTTGTCTGTGTTTGGTGAAGGTGCAGTGTTCAGTCACTCTGGGGTGCGTTAGGAAGCCATGGACATTCTTGCTTGATTCTGGAGAGCTCTGTTCTAGCAGTTCTAGCTTTTTTTGCTCTCCATCTATGTCTGGATGCATCTATTGGATTCATGAGATGGCAAAAATAATCATGGGCTTTTGCATTTCCATAGCCCATTTCATGGTTCTGTGGAGAGAACTCCATGAAAACGGTTGTTTAAATCTGTATTTTTGAGGATATTTTCTGGAAGGCTGGGAAGCAGCCTTCTCGTGCCCCACGTAGTGCTGTCCCACCCTGTGGGCACTTGAAGGTACTTCTGGGATCTGGAGAGCTGTGGATGGCTGTACCGCGGTGTCTGGTCTGTCTCCTGGGGGGGGACACGCCACGCCAGTCCATCCCCGCGCAATGTATTCTCCTCACCCCGTGCCACGTATAGAGTATGGGAGCTTACGGATGTGGTTATCGCTGTGTTTAAGTTGGAAGGTTTTTATTTTTGAAACTATTACAAGAGGAGCTTTCGGGATTTCCCAAGGCTATTTCCCTATTCGTTCAAATACCTTGTGTATTTGAAAATGTTATCAATGTGGTTTAAATAAAGGAACAGAGCGCCATGGCAGTGTAACACATTCTACCTTTACGTCAGAAATACCTCGTCAGCTAATACTGAAGTTCGTCCCTGTGTCATGGTCGGATTTGCATATTTTTGAAGTGATAAAGCTTTTTAATTAATCTTGCGAAAGGTAGCGCGTCCCGATCTGTACTTGAATATTCTTAACAAACACCACCAAATTAAGGCTTTCCATATCTAGTTTAAATTAATTAAAACAGATGCACAGCTATTTTTGAAGAAATTAGTTGGCAATTACTTTGTCATAGAGACTGTTGTGTTTAATTTTTATTATTTGGGGAAAGCTATCTCTGAATTAAGCTTGCGTGTAAGTATCAGTCATTTAGGTGTGTAAAAGAAATGCGAGGGTGATGGCTTCATTCAGTTACTGTTAGGCTTGAGGGGAAAAAAAAAGATCTCTAAACATGTAAAAATCAGAAATGAATGAATAGAAACAACCAAGCAGGAACACTGTGCTGCAGAAATGCCATTATGGATGAAAAGCACATTAAAAAAATAAAATTGGCTTAACTTGTCAGGAGACTACTGTCATTAAATTGCTAATCATATAGTTATTGTACTGTTTTATAGAATACTGGTATGAACAGTGAATTTGGGGCTACTTTCTTAGTGCGTAGGAAGTTTTATACACTCCATGAAAATGAATAAACCCCTGTTTCCTCTCGAAACAAGGACCTCTGCCTGCTGAGGGCAGCAGCTTAGGCTGGGCTGGGCTAAGGAGGTCAAGGCCGACTTAGGCTGGGCTGGGCTAAGGAGGCCAAGGCTGACTTAGGCCGGGCTGGGCTAAAGAGGCCAAGGCTGACTTAGGCTGAACTGGGCTAAGGAGGCCAAGGCTGACTTAGGCCGGGCTGGGCTAAAGAGGCCAAGGCTGACTTAGGCTGAACTGGGCTAAGGAGGCCAAGGCTGACTTAGGCCGGGCTGAACTGGGCTAAGGAGGCCAAGGCCGACTTAGGCCGGGCTGGGCTGGGCTAAGGAGGCCAAGGCCGACTTAGGCCGGGCTGGGCTGGGCTAAGGAGGCCAAGGCCGACTTAGGCCGGGCTGGGCTGGGCTAAGGAGGCCAAGGCCGACTTAGGCCGGGCTGGGCTGGGCTAAGGAGGCCAAGGCCGACTTAGGCTGGGCTGGGCTGGGCTAAGGAGGCCAAGGCCGACTTAGGCTAGGCTGGGCTGGGCTAAGGAGGCCAAGGCCGACGTGGTCAGTGGCTCACCACCTTCAGCCTGTCTCCCTTGTGCAAACCAAGGAGTCACTTGTCAATCAACGTTAAATTGCTGCTGTTTCCAGTGAATGCCATTTTAGGGTAAAGCACCGTGGATTTGTATTTGGCTCTCAATGCTCCGCTGGAAATGGCGGCAGTTCAGGAATCCTTAGCACCTGGAAGCGTGGGTCCCTGAACACCCTGGGGCTGCAGCTTTAGCAGCCAGGCCAAGGCAGGGCATCCCTGCTCGTCAGTCCATGCTTTCAGGGATGAGGTACCTTCCGTAACCGCAAACCTCGGAACGTTTCAGCAGTGAGTGTTGGGAAATGCAAGGCATTACTGCAAATACAGATTGCTTTACCTTGCATATGCTTCTTTTTTACTGCTTCTGTCCTAAAATGCCGAATAGCTTTTTGAAGCTGAATGTCTTCCTGTCCTTGTTTTGTGTCAAAGTACAGTTGCTCACGTTCAGGTTAAGAAAGCAGATGAGAAGGGTGGGGTTTTTTTTTCCTATCTTTAGTCGTCTTTTCTCCCCAGAAGCCAAACTGCGCCAGAGGATGGATGCTTTGAAAGAGAAGTGTGATCCTCCTATGTAGCTGCTAATTCCTTGCTCGGTTTGATTATGCTGTCATCTTTGTAGTAACTTTGCTTTGCTACTGCTTGGGTTATTTTCTCATGCTTGTGATGATGAAGAAAGGTGATGAAGTAATCATGTGTAATAGAAATCCTTCTTTTTGTGTGTAGGAAACTCGCAAATGGGTGCTACCATAGTAGATGCATTGGATACTCTTTATATCATGGGGCTTCACGATGAATTCAGAGAAGGACAAGAGTGGATTGACAAAAATCTTGATTTCAGTGTGGTGAGTAAAGCTTGCCCTAATATTTCTCTAGTCCTTTTCACAGTGTTCCTCTTGGCGGGAGACAGAAGAGGTCTTTCAGCTGGAACTTAAAAAACTTACGATTCGAAGTATCAGAAGTTCAGATGTAAGCTTTAGTGAAATTCTCCGTGTTAGTAACTTTATTTTGGAAAAAAATCCCACCCAACCCTTTCACACTTTAATTATAAGTGAAGATACATCTATATATTGTATTTTCGAAGTACAAATTATAATTGGATAATGGAAGAAAGGAGAAGTGGTCAGTGAGAACCAACAGGGCCTCAGAAATGAAGGCAGAAAGATGAGCCTTTACTGGCTAATAGTAGTTGGAAATAACTGAGCTGTGAAAGACAATTTCCCCCCAAACCACGGTGTATAAATCACTTAACAATATAATCTCTTCTTCCGTGTCCTCAAGATGTTTTAACATGAAGAATGCCACTTGAGTCATCTCAGTTTGCCTGCAGGTTCTGAATCTATCGCAAGAATTTCCCGGTTGGTCATACAGCATCTGACGTTCTTTGTGTGCCGTTTGGAAGCGTTAAGTGGAAGAAATGGCTTTATTTTATCCATATTGATTAGTGTTCTTATTACTAATTTTGGGACTGTCACAGACTCTGTGACGGAATTTGTATTTCAATCCTTGGACCTGCCCTGTGGTTCCAAAATAATTTTCCATTCAGTAATGCACAAAATGAAACGTAGGTATACAGTCAGAATTGAGCAGATGCTTACTGTTGTTTTTATATTATGTCCTGCATTTCAGAAATAGTTTGGGGTTTTTTCTTTTGTTTTATGCATTGACTGTCTGGCAAACATTAAAGAAATTCTACTCTGCTTTTTTCAGTTAGTGCCAGATAATTATTCAGTCTAAAACTGAAGACTCTAAATATATCAGAGACAGTGTAGACATAATGGTACCATTATGAGGGTGAACTAAATTACTTCCGTAACTTTTGTCTGATCTGAGGCAATCTCAATATAAATTTGCAGAATTAATCTAGCGTTTGGGTGGCAGAAACGTACATGACCCACCGGGGTTCAATTGCAGCTTCCTATGTATTAAAAAAACATTTCTGAAGGTTAATGAGTTGTCTTATATATACATCAGACTTGCGTAATTTCCCTATATAGTTGGAAGTTTATAAATAAATACATAAATTTGTTCCCCTTGGATTCTTTTACTGAGGAATAGAAATCATTGGTTTCACTCTACATTGTACCATTGCTTGTGTGATTCGTGACTTTAATAGGTATTAAGTGGAATCATAGGCTGCATTATTGATATTTTTCTGGTATCACCTGCATGTGAATAAAAATACGTCTTTTACTAAAAACCTATATTTTGGGAGTATTTTGAACTTTAGACTTCTAATCATCAGCGCTATTTGAGGAAATCTTTAAAGTATTCATATAATCTTTCTGAAATAAGTAATATATGCAAAATGCATTTGTTTTGGATAAAAAAAAAATGCATGATACAACTACAGGTGCCGTAGAAATAGTGTGAAAGGGAAGACATACCTATAAATATCATGTCAGCTGTGTGCTAATTGGTGGGTCAACTTGTACAGTGTACATTATAGTTACTTTTCTGGATAACAAGAAAAGTCTCCCTTATCTCAAAATCTTTTATTAAAACTACATTTCTCTGTCTAATGGGTTGAGTGGAGAGAAGCTTATGAGGGAGACAGATGGGGTGTATGCAGGCAAAGGAGTGAATGGGGTGCAGAGGGAGGCAGAAAGATGTTTAAATGAGACAAAAGATACTGGTGGATTTAGCCCAAGGATATTCATGTGGAGGAAGGCAGTAAAATGGTTTGTTCTCTTGAGTTTCTCAGTCGTCTTGCAGTACGTGTTGTCATAACATTCAATACATAAAGGCTATTCCTAGGCAGAGACTATGTTAAAATGGAGCTCTGAATTTGAGGTGGCACATCGGTAATTCAGGTTAAGAACGAACATTACAGGAATTCTCTAATTATTATTTCACTTTATCCTGTAAACCCAGAAGATCTGGTGTTATGCTTAAACGTAAGAGAAAAGATGCTGAATTATGGAAATGTACAGTCCTCGCCTTCTTTCCTACCATCCTCAAACAACTTTAATTATCACCACAAAGTGCAATCTGATTAGAGAGCAGGAGAAAAACTAATTTGATTTTTAAAAATCAGTTGAAGCTGTAACTAGAATTATCACTTGGTGTCCTGAAGATGTGCGCAGGAATTTCAGTATGGATCTAGATACTGAAACAGTACAAACCCTTGGTTTAGGGTATGTACTTGCCTCTACCTTGATGATTTTTTTTTTTTCTTCTTTGATTAGGATGTTGGTTAATTATTTACTCTTTCTTCCTGTTCTAGAATTCCGAAGTGTCTGTTTTTGAGGTTAATATTCGCTTCATTGGTGGTCTTCTAGCAGCATACTACCTTTCAGGACAAGAGGTAAGGAGACTGGAAGGTGTCTGTGAAATTTAACGTATTCTAGCAAATGTTGCATATGAAGAATTTTCTAGAATCTTGGTTTCTTAGTAGTTTGAAAACTAATTTTACAGCAGCAAGTTGTCTAAAGTAACCAAATTCTTAGAGTATGGAGTCTTTAAAGCTTGTTTCTGTGCAGGTGTCGGCCAATTTAGGACCCTTTGTTAGTGCTTTGAAATGCTTCTTTTATCAAGATGTTTCCAAAAGGTACTCACTTAAGTAAACATCAGCCTGAAATGTCAAGTCACTAGCTTCTCATGCCAACAATAACTTGTTCTGATATGCTGTAACTCCATGAAGGTGGAAATAATAGTTTTGTCACTCGTCCTGCAAGGCTGCAGGTTTGCTTTACAAAAGTGCTACGCAATCTTCTTACCATTTTCTCAGGGACAAACTGAGAAATATCGAGCCAATTTCATCCCACTTTTGAAACTTCTGTTAAAAAAGATGGGAGACTTATACTTCTGAGCACTTATGCAATGACATGCTTAGATTGAAAGGATGCATATACCCAAAGGCTTGCAACCATGGGCTTTGATCTAGCAGTAACATTGCTGTGACCTCTTACTTCACATACTTTAACAAGGCTGGAGCCTGACCCAACCTACAGATTAAGTCATAGCTCTTCTCATGTTTTATCAGCTACCTGTCTTTTGTTCTGTTGCCTATGTCTTTGATTTGTTTGTTTTTATCCTTTATTTTTCATGGCCCTTCTGTAGCCTGCTACCTAAAACATTAGGCATCCAGCCATATTTCATGGCTTAAGGTTTGATACACTTTCAGGTGTTCGTATGTATCTTCCTCCTTTGTTTAGGGGAGCACTGCATACGTATCAACAAGTTCTCAGGGATTTTAAGCCGGCAGCCCTAAAAATAACCAGGAGAAACCCCCATATTGATTCTTTAGGTCTTTGGCATCATCCTGCTGGGATCTGTGAATTTTCTCTCATAGGAATGTCTTCTCTTTGGAAGAAGAGCTTAGGGGCAAAGCAAAAATCCAGTGTATATCTTGAAAGAAATTGCTAGTTTATTTTTCATCACTGCTTCACCTTCTTGACTGTCCACACTCTCCAAGCTCCCCACCTGCAGAGGGATCAGCTGCAAGCAGTCCTTTCTGCTACACTGATTCACGTGGTCGGTTATAGGAGGCCTGAAGGAAAGGAGAAGCACATAATTTTGCCCCTCTCTTTCCTTTGTAGCAACTGAAGAACTGACCTCGCATTCTCGTGGCAGTGGGCCTTTCTCCAGAATCTGTCAGGCTTGGGTCTTCTGTCAGAGTTTCCTCACAGCTCAGTAAGGGTTTTGCCCTCAGGCAGCGATCCTATTCCCCACTGTTACAAGTCAGCCTTTTAAATTGGTGGCTGTGGCACCTCTTCAGGAAGACAGCGTTTGTAGCAGCTATCACTTGTGTTAGAGTAGTGGTGAAATTCAAGCTCTTTTGTCCTAACAAAAAAAGGCATCAGAATCACTGAATGGTCAACCCAAATGTTAACTTGCGGCAGCTTCTGAATTTCATCTAGGTCAGCATCATTAACCTACCAGTTCTCTTTTGAAGGCCCTCAGAACAGAAGCTTTCTTTTGCTGTCAGACATAAGCAAGGAAAAACGCTTGTGTTTTTGTTTCTGTAGCAAGCAAGTTTCATGGAGAGCAGTCTGAGCTCCGTGTGCTTTTCAACTTGTGCCAAGGAGCAGCTGAAGTAGCTAAGCTGCAACAGATAGGGGCAGTCATGGTAGTTCCTGCCGTAGCGCAAGTGACCTCAGCAGCACGTTGAAGGATGCGTCCTTTCCAGAAATCTGTATTTCTGTTGCTTGGACCTCAGATCGCATTAAGTACTATGTGATCACTGAAGCCTTCAAGTGTTGAGTAGAGCAGTCCCACATCATCTTTTCAGCTAGGAACACTGATCCTGAACTTACTCAACCTGGAGCATGCTCCTTGGAGTCATCTACCATGAATATGAAAAACCTCAGAGAAAGAGGAAAGGTCGCCTATCGGTAGCTGGATTGTATACATCAATACCACGCCTGTGCACAAGCCCCTTAACAAGAACTTTTTTGCCCCAGTATGCAGATGGGGGCAGCCAAACACTGCCAAAACACGTGCTTTGCCTGCATTTGTTAAGCTGAGTATTCCCTTTCCTTTCAGTTGCTTCTAGTTGCTTGGTAGAGTCAGAACAAGCTCCTTTGCTTAAAGAGTTTTCATCAACACATTTTGTTTCTTTCATTCTTAGAAAGCTTTTTCGCTCTGTCTTTCCTAAATTTGGGCCACTGGGCTGACTTTTTTAAAAATATTTTTATGGCATCAGTCTCTCCAGTGGACTTTAAATGCTTCATGACTTGTGGTAGATTATTTCTGTCAAGTGTTCAGATGTATTATCTTTATTTTCCAAAAAAAGACCTACTAAAAAAAGTGTTCAGACTGCATTTCTTTCAAAAGAGTGTGGCGGATAGGACTGCTTCTGGTACCTGAGAGCCTCCTTCGTTTGCCAAGTTGGATGGTTTCTCTGCAGTTTGTCAGGGTGGATAAGACAAGCAAGGGAACTTGAGGCTTCTCAGTAATTGAGCCCAGGAGAGAGAGACCTGCCTCTGAGAACTCCTTGGAGGTGGAAACAGGCTTGTTTGAGATGTGATTTCCAATCTGGTCTTCTCTCTTTTGTTCCCAAGAAGGGAAGGTATTCCTTAGTTCAGGATTGGGGCATGCTTAATTTCTTTCTTTACTGCGTGCAGACATGTCAGGAGACACTTCTTAGCCACTGCTAAGACAGGGAAGCCTGATCCCAAGTGATTGGATGTTCTGCCTGATCAGGTTGTGAACGTGCACATGGGCTTATACCTCTTAAGGGAGTCTCTATCTACTGGTAGGTATCCTTCCTTTGTTCATCAAACTATCATTTACTTGATGTTCCCTTCCCACACCTTCTTGATATTCCAGTCCCCATCTCCCTTCCTCCAAGCCTCTACTTCGGTAGGACTGTTGCTAGATACTGGTTTAGAAGGTTTCCATACTAATTTCCATACTTTTGCATGTCATCTTTGATGTATTGTAAAATAGGTCCCATACAATGAACAGGCTGCTTGGAATTAATTCTGTTTTTCACACACTTAGTGCTGGTAAAGATGCTATAGTGACAACCAAAAAAGAAAGTGTCCAAGACTCAGCATCAGCTGTGGAAGTTCAATCACTTTTAAGTGGCCACATTTGGAGAATTTGATAGCCAGCATGGTTTATCTGTATGGTTTTGCCCTTTGTATGGAGAGGGTAATTGCGCTTTATAGGATTTTATCTTATTATGAGTCATAATGGTAGATATTGATAACAGTTTTTAAATACAGCTGGCTATTAATTTAGCTAAAATTGTCCTGTTTAATGCTCTTATTAGAAACATGTTAGTTTTTAAAAATTATTTAGCATGTCTAGTGGCATGATTCGGTGGTCTCCATGCTGTATTTTAGCTGTCATGTTCCTGGTATTACTCAGAGGAGCATCAACTGTGGTCATAGTTTTAATGGTGCTGGTTACAGGTGATGGTAACATTTTAAACCTTTCCTATTAAGGTTGTGGGTATTGCTGTCCCTCCTTCCAGTAAGAGTTCCCTCTTACTCACTACAGTGGATGGGGAAATAGTGAAATATATCTCCCTTACAACCAAAAAAAAGCTGCTGTTTTTAGCAACTGACAACTTGGCTTAAAATGCTGTAGGCTTGTCCCGTCCGGTGTTGGGTCACGGGCCTTTTGTGGTGAAACATGACACTTGCGAATTTTTTAGCAGCTCAACCTTTTACATGTGGGAATTTCTGCTGGACTTCCTTGAGTGATGAGCATATAAAGTTAAAGTTTGCGGAGGATGCGTTCTCATGTCCCTCTGGCTGGATGTCTTGGTTGTCTTGCCTCACTGTGCCTTTCTGTTGATGTAGAGAGACAAAATTGTTCCTCTGTCTAACAGGCAGTTCTCCTGATCTGGGGAAAATCCCCATCTTTCTGCATTTTTCCATGTCAGAATGCTTTTTGAATAGAATAAAATCAAGATACGCCTGTGAAACTTGACACAGTGGAAAACCCGCCCATGCATTCTGTTTCCATCTTCTCAAGTTGAAACAGCACTGAGGTTTATCTGGTGGCAGGGGCGGTAGGTCTGCAGTCGGGGAGGCCCTGGGTTAAATCCTCTGCACAGTACGTTTTTTCCTGGCTGATCACGGATGGGCCATCTGGTGTCCGACTAGGTGTATATTACCAGATCTAAGAGCATGCCTTCTTTGCCTCAGCTCCTGCGTAGGAAGGAGGTCCCAGTCTGTCACTGCTTTTGAGATTCTTGGGGTTGTTTTTTTTGGTTTTTTTTGAAGCCTTGAGCCTGTGGCTTTTCTCCAAAGTACGATATTGGAATATATGATGAATCTATGCTAAAATAGTGGAACATAGAATCATAGAATGGTTTGGGCTGGAAGGGACCTTTCAAGGCCATCCAGTCCAACCCCCCTGCCATGACGAGGGACATCCTTAACCAGACCAGGTTGCTCAGAGCCCCATCCAACCTGACCTTCAATGTTTCCAGGGATGGGGCATCCACAACTTCTCTGGACAACCTGTTCCAGCATCTCACCACCCTCATTGTGAAAAATTTCTTCCTTATATCCAGTCGAAAACTACCCTCTTTCAGTTCTAAAACCAGTACCCATTCTCCTGTCACTACAGGCTGTGGTAAAATGTGTCTCCATCTTTCTTATAAGCCTCGTTTATATATGGAAAGGCCACTATAAGGTCTCCCCGGAGCCTTCTCTTCTCCAGGCTGAACAACCCCAATTCTTTTTTTTTTTTTTTTTTTTTTTTTTTTTTTTTCCATTTTTGCTTGCTCTATAAATAAATAATAGCCAGTGTGGTGCCAGAGGAGGAAAGGAAAAAGTTACATTGGCTCACAAAGCAAAATAAGAAATGGACAAACTTAAAAATAAATATTTTTCTTACAAAAAG